TTGTCTTGTTCTCTTTCCCTCTCAATAAATGTATGTGTCTTAGTGGTATTATTGTCTTGCTTGGGGTGAAATGATTGAAAAAAATGGAGAAATGTTTTATAATTCTTCCCTTTGGAAAATCACTGTAACAGCAAATTTTTCTCTTTGATAAAGTTACTTAAGTGTTTATTGCAAATGAACAGATTGAACCAGGTTTTCCTAACATTTCAAATGTACCATTTGGAAGTGAAAGGTAGCCTAATGGTTAACAATACAAAAATAAAATAAGCAAATTGAATTTTGATTTAAACTGTTTAAGCTCATTTAAGAAAAGTCACTACCCTTTCTTGTCAACAGGTATATTGACAAAAAATATATCTTGTCATGTCATGGTGGTTGCAGCAGAATAGGTGATCAAGCACTTGGGTAAACCCCTCAGCCATAAATAACTTATCTGCTCATTTTTAACTGAAAAGAATACTGTTATACCCCTTGTCAACCTTGACAAAAACAGTCAAGCATATTACTTTAATGACAACAGGTTTAATGATTTCTATATTATCCTGTTTGATAGTAATTATTTTTCATTCTGTTTAGATAGCTTTTGTATGTGTGTTATATTTATTTATATTTGTCAACCTTTGATGCCTGGCCAAGAAATCGGATACAGGTCAGTCTAGTTTAAGAATAAATTAGAATAACACAGTCTTATATTTTGTCACCTATAAAGTATATTTCCAAAAATCATCGCTAAAAATCCCCCCCACACCAAAAGTCAGTTTGAGTGTCTCTTGTTTATCATTACTGCATGTGAAGTTACCTCAGAGAGGATATTTGTAACACTGTTCATTAAGAAGAAAAATTAAAATACTTGTTCATATATGCCCCCACTACCCTTTTAAGAAAAAAAAAGAAAAAAAAAAAAAAACTCTTTCTCAAAAACTTACCCTGAGTGACAATTCATAAATTGATTATGCAAGTAATTCTCAATGAAATCTGTAAATTTCCAAGAAGCTCCTTTTAAGATTCTTGTCAGATTGAGACTTTCATATGGATGTCATGCATGGCACCAAGCTTGTTCAGAAATATCAAAACTGTCACATATATATATGACCACTTAAGATCAATGATTTTGTGTGAAAGAAAACTGTAGGTCTTTACAAGGAGCACCCTTCTTTGAATCTTGTAGATTGGCATTACGAAATCACAGAGAACTGTACCAAATAATGGAAACCATATCACTTGAAAGCTTACAAGAGTAGCAATAACTAAAATGGCACATCTAGCTCAAAGAGAAAATGAAGATGTTGACATTCTACACTGCTCTAAAGAAAAGATTGAGAAGGAATTCCTCATCAATATTGGAAAGACCAATAAAAGTTAGCGATCCTGAGAAAATGATTTTCATGAAGAACTTTTTAAGAGAAAGATTTTATAAAAGAGAAAAAAAGAAAGAAGTAATTCTATATTAAAGTGGAAATTAACTTTTAACTAAATTTGAGCTTTTTTTTTTTTTTTTTTTTTAAACCTTGTAATAAAAAGAATTGAACAGATACAGAGTGCGATTGATAAATTGTCATCCAAATACAGAGTGCGATTGATAAATTGTCATCCAAATACAGAGTGCGATTGATAAATTGTCATCCAAATACAGAGTGCGATTGATAAATTGTCATCCAAATACAGAGTGCGATTGATAAATTGTCATCCAAATACAGAGTACATCCAAATACAGTGCGATTGATAAATTGTCATCCAAATACAGAGTGCGATTGATAAATTGTCATCCAAATACAGTGCGATTGATAAATTGTCATCCAAATACAGAGTGCGATTGATAAATTGTCATCCAAATAAGGCAAAAATGTAAAAAATATTGACATCTTATTTTAACAGATATATTTACCAAAAAATATCTTGAAATACTTAAAGAGTAAATTTATTCAAGAAAAATTGCTATTGGCTTCAACGACAGCCTCCAGACGACTTTGGAATCTCCTGCATCTCTTCTGGACATTCTCCTTGTTTATGTTAGTGAATGTTGCCGTAAACCTTGCCTTCAGTTCATCTTTGGAGTTACAAGTTTTGTTGGTCTCTTGCTAAAATGTGCCCCAGGCATAATAATCAAGGGGTTGCAGTCTGTGGAGTTAAGTGGCCAAATGTAAGGGGTGATGTGATTGCAGAAATTGTCTGACAGCCATCACTGGGTTTTCCTGCTTGTGTGGCATGGTGCAGAGTCCTGTTACCAGACACAGGGTCTTCCAGCAGCCACCATTTTGATCCAGAGCAGCACTACCTCCTGAAGGAACTTGATGTAGGCCACTGTGTTGAGTCTAAGGCCCTGTGTGAAGATGAATGGAGGTATAACATCTCCATCACTAGTAATCACTTCAAACACCATGATGTTGACTGGATATTTGGTTTTCATCACTCTCAGTCCATCTTTCTGGGGCACAACAAGCAAACAGTTTTGTGTTCACCATCTTATCCTGGCATAAATTTTTCTCATTTGAGAAAAAAACAAATTATGTTTCGTTGGAGGTGATGCTTGAGTTTGTTTAAAAGGTTTGTAGTCCAATCTTTCCTCTTGTCCTTCATGGATTGGGATAAAAATTGGCTCTTTCTCATTTTGTATGGGAAATACTGAATGTCTTCAGCACTACCTGCCTGATAAGAAACTCAGACACTCCTATGGACCAGATTGACTTGGAAGGATCATTATCAATCATGGCTTGGGTCTCACCAACATATTCAGGAGTTCTTTTCTTATCAGAATGACCAGAGTGACTTTTCTGAGTTGCTGTACCTTTGTAATCACCATTAGACTCTTCCAACTCTTTCCAAATCCTTTGCACTGTCTTTAGATTGACACCCAAACACTCTGAAATGTTCGTATTTGTGCTTTTGGTGCAAATGACAAGCAGTACAACATGCCACATCCAAATTTCAGGTGGAATGAATTGTGTCATGGCGCTCTTTTTCTCACACTGCCCAACCGACCCTACTATACTGTGCAGTCAACAAAATCAAAAGATGTGCATATGCGCAAAATGAAAATATAAAATGGCGACAATTTACCCATCGCACCCTGTATATTCACATTTAATTGACAAAAAAAATCAGAAACTACATTTGTTTTGAGGTCTGTTCATCACTGCTTAGACACAATAATAAACCCACTTTTTTTTTTCTTCTGGAAACTTACAATGAATTAGTGTACTCTCTGCGTTTGACCAACATGAGTCTAATTGAATATCCATAGGACATCATAGAGGGGTTTATATGTTCACAAGATTCTGCACCTAAAAATATTGGGGCTGTGAACAGCAGTCAAGACAGCACTGTTCAACTTCTCCCCAGAGGTCATCCAAGCACTTGTGGATTCAGTGCCATATAAAGTTGCTGCACTTTGCAAGACTAGAGGAAGTCCTGTGGAATACTAGACACTTATCTCTTTACTTTTGACATATTAGGGTATAGTGTAATAAACTTTAACTGAATAATTTTTTGAATTATAATTTTTAAAAAAAATTAATTTTTTAACTCTTTGAGATGAGAATTTCTTGCTATTATATATTGATTTTTGAACTGTTTTGTATTTTTGTTGACTCTATAAAAATGTTTTGGCCTTTGTAACTTTTAGCTTTTTTTGAGTTTCCCTCACATTAGGCAAATTTCCACAAATATCGAGTATAACATCATAGCTTCTTCTTAGCTTGTGAAGTCCTTTGTTGGGTATAGGCCTTCTCCAGATTATGGAGAGGAATGGGCCATTACTTTACTGTGCTGGCCTATGGGTAAGGGTGGCTATGATGCACTTTTGCAATCATGTCCATTTTTTTTTTTTGATTTATGATTGCCCAAGTGTTTTTGTCCATAAGTGAATGTAAGGAACTCGACTAGAATTTAAACTTAATGCTTTGATTTCTTATTACCTAACTGTCATCTATTGCACTGCCTGCACATCGTAAATCCAAGTTTACTACACCTGGTATTCCTAAGCAGTCACACATCTAGGTACTGACCAGGCTTGATGTTGCTTAACTTTAGTGATTGGCTGAAAGCTGGTGTTTCAAAATGATATGGCTGTAAGCTATAGCATAATATAAAAAGCATTAATTGGGAAAGGGTTCCCTTAGATACCCAATGGTCTTGGAGATTATGAAGTTGTGGTTTTGGTGATGTTTCCAGTGCACAAGGCCAGGATAGGTAGATATGGAGATCCTCTCTCTCTCTCTCTCCACATCACTGAAATGATTCAATGGAAAGGTAGGTGTTGATACACATGATTCCAATGTCCTTATCAGGATGTCGCTAAATACAGCCATGAACTCTTAGGAATTCCAACTATGGATTTTTCAAGCAGTTTTAAATTCAAATTTGTCCAACTGGTTAGCAACTAATGCTAGAGATCCAATTTTACCCTACTATTTAATGGATTCATATCTTTCTGAACAGCATCGGAGCAAATGGGAACACAACTACTTTGGCTAGAATTTGAATTTGGCTAACCAGTCTCACTTACCAGTAACCACTATGTCACTTGCACATCTTTATGAAAGAGTAGACATTGGAATTATATTTAAACTTTTAAAATTCCAGGCTGTGTCATAGTGCATAAAAGTGACAGTAAATTCTTTTGGTTACGTGAAAGTTATGAGTTCAATCACTGCTTGAGGTAGGGCAAAAATTTGGTTGTTAGATCAACAGTTAAATAATTATAATCTTAGAAATTTCTACAAAGGATGTGGCAGATAAATGAATGAAAAAACAAAGTTTGTGGATTATATAAATTCTTTCACTTTTCCTGGAAAGTTACCAAATGGGCCTTAAATATTTTAAGTTTATATAAAAACAAAGAGAATAAGTTTATATCTGGAAATTTTGCTTGTGAAATTCTCAATAGGAAATATATGCAATTTGGCTAAATTGCCCACAGTCTTCTGGCTCATAGCAGAATAATTCTGTGATGCCATTTTGAAATTTCAAATGTTTGTACTTGTTTATTTTCCAAACTCTAGAATGAAGAAACGGCAGATGGAGGAGAAAGTGGAAAAGCTATCCAGATGAAACCGCAGGAAATTCTTCTTCGTATCCGGCCATGTAAGTTGATACAACAATACATATGTGCTTGTTGATTATATATGATATGAGATAGGGTGTTGCCTATCAACTGAATGTATTTTAATGTTAGGAATATACTTTTACCAATATGGTTAAAGTCAGGTTTTGTAACTTTTAGTCATCCATACTTTAGCTGGAGACTTCTAACCATATAGGTAATGAAAACTGAAATGGTATATTATGCGTATTACAAAGAAACACTCTAATTATATATATATATATATATATATATATACACAAACACACCACACAGTGAGCCCTCACCTATTTGTGTTTCAGCATTTGCAGCTTCACACATTTTGTGGATTTTTCTTTAGAACATATGTACTTGTTATTTGTGAAAACCCCAAATATTTGCATGTTTTTCTGAAGAACATATGTACAAATTATTCGCTCACAACTTCCTTGATTCAGGTATTTTTTCGAGAGAACATATTTAAAATATTCTTATATTATTTTCCTGTTATTTAAGTGACTTAAAACATAATGATCCATTTTAATGGTAAAAATTGTCAGAATTGTACATCTTCATTGTAAAAAAAAAAAAAAAATATGAAGAAGCATGCATAGTGCTTGGGCATTGTTCTTTAAGGGTTGCAGCTGGGGTCTTAAAAGTGGCTTATGCTAAGTCTGGAGTCATCATCACAGTTCTGTTTTTAGGAAATGTTTTAAATTTTCTATTTTATATTTTGTTAACATATATTATACAGTATTTTCAATGGTGGTATCAATCTATGCATCATTAAAAACATTTATTGTACGTATGAAAGAAAAGTTAAGTGTATGATCGCCAATATTATTTTCCAAAAATTTTTTAAAGAATTTGAAATGTTTCTAAAGTGATTAGGATGAAAAACATATGGGGTTTTAATAATCAAAATAGGTACTTATAAGAACTTTGGGTGGGGATTACAAGTATTCGCAGATTCTAACTATTTGTAGCCAGTTGTGTTCCCTAACTCTGTTAGATATGAGAGAGAGACACACAAAATGAGAACTTGCTGTCAGATGTAGTTTATCATCATACCCAGGATTTTGGGTAACTATTGCTATTAGATGACAATGGCTTGTACTGTGATGACAGATTAATATTTTATTGTACCTTAAAAAAAAAAATCACGCTTAATATTTTCCAGCATTTTCTTGTCATTGTTCAATTCTTTCTGAAGAATCATCTCCAACAGTAATATTCAAAATGGCCACTTGTGTCTCCATGGGACCATTGTGAACTCTCAAGGGATATTCAAGGATACTATGAAAAAGAGTGCTATAATTTTAACAGAAGAGTAAATTCTTTAATTTACCACATGGGGTTATCAACACAGAAAATGGAATCAGCAAACAGTTTTTGTTTTTTGTTCTTTTAATCATTTCACACGAAACAAGACAATAAAGCCACTAAGACACAAGGGATTACTGAGTGAAAGAAAATATGAAAAAAAAGAAAATACGAAAGAGAACAATAAAAGAATAGGGATTAAGAAGACAGAAGATAATGATTGAAATTGCATTTAAATTTTTGATGGTCAAAGTTGACTGGAGAGCTGAAAGAGTTCCACAATTGAGAAGTGAGATAGAAGGAACTGATAGCATAGGACTTACGGCTGCACTTAGCTATTTCAAATGTAAAATGAAAAAACCTAGCTGCCAATCTAGTACTATGTTTAAACTCAAACTGAAGTACCACAGAGGAAAGCTCATCAGAACAATTATCACAAAAATATTTATAGAAAAGGCAATCTACAGTATTTTGAAAGTGACTGAAATAGAGATGTCAGGTCAATACCAATAACATTGCCGATTCTTTGGATTTTATCAAGAATCTCTAAATACATAGCAGGAGCATCAGGTCAGATGTTGCAGCAATATTCAATGCATAGAAGAATGACAAACTTATAAATGGCGAGGAAAAAAATGTCTAAACCAACTTTCCTAGCAGCAGACTTAGCAATTGATTCAATGTAATCTTTCTACTTCATGTCAGCAGAAAATGTTAGTGCTGACAATCTGCTTTCATGCTTGAATGCAATCTTCAGGCTGTGTGTGCATCTCTCTTTCTCTCTTTAGGTCAGCATTTCTCAACCAGTGCACTTGGGTGCACTAATGCCTCCCAACTTAACAGAAGAGTAATTTATGAATTATTTTTATATTTAAAAAACATCTTTTTAAAAAGCTAGAGACACCATGTCATGAAATGTCATAAAAATAAATGCTTATTTCAGGAGACTTTTTTATTATTTTCCTATTTTGAATTTCATAACTAATTTTAAAGTAAAATTTAAAGTGCACCCTAGAGTTTGTTATTTGACAATTGCACTCTGGAGTGAAAAAGATTGAGAAACAATGCATGTGTGTGTGTGTGAAGACAAAAGGAAAATTATTCTTTCTGAACACGTCTTGTTCTTTGATGAACTTTACAAAAGACATTGATTTCCTTTCATATTTATTCATAATGTTTTTGCAGATGTATTTTCTTTATATCTGAATTTTTACACACATAGAAACACATATTTTATGTTTAGTTTCATCATCTTTCATTTATAAAGTGTGAATGAGCTTTTTTCTTACTTTTCAGTAAAATGTTTAAACAAAGAATTGCTGCTTAATTATACACGCACATACACAAGGTGTGATGGGTCAATTGCTGCCATTTTATAATTTTAACTTCATGCATGCACATTGTTTTCGATTTTTGTCGACTGCACAGTATAGTAGGGTCAATTGGGTACTGCCTGTCAGAAAAAGAGTACCATGATGAATTCACTCTGCCAGAAATTTTGAAATGGTATGCTGTACTACTTGGCATTGATGCTGGAAACTTCAATATGAACATTTCAAAGTGTTTGGGTGTCAATCGGAAGACAGTGCAGAGGATTTGGAAAGAGTTGGATGAGTCTAATGGTGATTATGAAGATATGAAAGCTTCGAAAACTCACTCTAATCATTCTGATTAGGAAAGAACTCCTGAATGTGTTGAGGACCTCAGGACTCAACACGGTGGCCTACATCAAGTGCCTTGAGGAGGTAGTGCTGCCCTGGGTCAAAAGAGTGGATGCTGGAAGGCTCTGTGTCTGCCAACAGGACTTTACACCATGCCACACAAACAAGTGAACCCAATCATGGCTGTCAGAACTACATCAACCTTTACATCTGGCCACCAAACTCCACAGACTGCAACCCCCTTGATTATTATGTGTGGGGCACAGTTGAGTGACCAACAAAACTCTTTGTAAAACCAAAGATGAACTGAAGGCAAGGATTATGGCAGCATTCGCTAACTTAAACAAGGAGACTGTCCAGAAGAGGTGCAGGAGATTCTGAACTCATCTGATGGCTGTGGTTGAAGCCAATAGTAATTTTATTGATTAAATATGCTCTTTAGTATTTCAAGATATTTTTGTTTAATTTTGGTAAATATATCTGTTAAAATGAGATGTCAATATTTTCATTTTTGTGTAATTTATGTGACAACGTATGCGACAATTTATCCATCGCGCCCTGTATATATGAATAAAGAGATGAGGAAAAAAACTCAGCTGATGAATTTTGTCCTCTGAGGGACTTTATCAAGGCAATGTTTTTCCTTTTGTCTCTTTTTATTCATTTGGTCTCTTTTACAGATACTCTGTCTGACAATATTTATACACACAAACACACACATATATATAAAAACAACCAGGCATAAAATTTGAGATTTCCACACATTCCCAATGTCAGTTAAATATTTTGACATAATCATTACCTTCATCATTATCTATAAATTTTCTAGTCAAAAATAATGTTTCTTTTTTTTACAGCTGAAACAGTAAAAGTTCCATTTGAGTTTTATTTGGCCAAAGATTATCCAGTTGATATGTATTTCCTTATGGATCTTTCCTACACAATGAAAGATTACATTGATCAATTAGCCATAGTGGCTAAAGAGTTGGGTAAGTTTTCCTTTTCTACGTCAGCTGAAATATTGTTTAAAAAATGCAGTCAGTTTAGAAATTTGAAATGCCGACATTGGACCCTCCCTTACCTGAAGTTTTATTTACATATGGTCAACTTTTACTTAACACATTTGTTAGCTTCCTACTTATACATCTGTATGAAACTTACATTGTCTGCTGTTGACACATGTGTATAACAATTTCTAAAGAATTAATGAATTTTTTAATCCAACATTTATATTACTTCAAATGTTATTATAGTGGATACTTGTATTTGAAATAGATGCCCCATTTTTATTTATTAAAATGTCTTTTCCTTTCATTTAAGAAATCTTAGTAAAGAAAATGCCAGAAGACACATTTTCTTTACTAAAAGTTCTAAAAGACAATGCACAGTTTAATAAATAAAATACAAAGTGTACATGATAATAACTTTTGAAGTAATGTATCTATCAAGATACCATGAAATGCTCGTTTTCTAGTTTTTAAGTGCTATTTCCAAATGAGTGTAGACAATAAGTCCAGATTTGGGGGTTGGTGTTTAAATTAGTCTGTACTGTAGAATATTGTATCAAAATCACAATGGCAGTGTCTCTGAGAAATAGCCATCACCTTTATGGTCATTTATTTCCAATAAATGACGTAGCAGTGAAAGTGTTAATATTAATCTCAAAGTCCAAGATTCTGGCTATTTTAGATATGCCAGAGAGAAGCTGTGAAGGGCTTTTTTTAAGTGAAATGGTAGAATTTCTTAATAATGAAAAGAATAATTTTAGCTTGTTTCATAATTCTTGTCTGATAATTTGTTGTTCATATGTCAAAATTAATGGGAGAGTAAGTCCTTCACAGTTACTAAGTCAGATTAGTAAGGAGCTAGTGTATTACTCTATACATTTTGGTGTACAAATTAATATTACTTATAAATAGGCTACAAGTTTGAGTCAAATTCAGGCTTGAGTAAACAATAATACCAAAACACCTCACCTTTCCCTTCTCTTAATATTTGGAGAGCTTGTTTAAAATGGTTTATACATAAATCTTTGTTTATCACTTGCCTTGCAATTCATGCTTTGTTTTTGTTTTTGTTTTATACTCATGTTTTGACAGTCATACCTTCCTCAAGTGTCTGTTTTTCTACCAAGTAACCATCTCAGAATTCTGAAACTTTATTAAATTCACTTTAAATCCACATGGATGGATTGCCCTCATTTTCACTGTCCATGTTTGGTGGATGTTTTATATCAATTAATAGCCATCAGTCTTCATACCAATGGCATCAAGTACAAAGATAGATACCTGAAGAAGGTGAGAGGTTATCTTTTATGACCCTTGGTGCTTTATGTAACAAGTGTTTTGTAGATGCAGTCTGACTATCTCTCCTGGATCACTCAAAGTTTTTCAAAATTTTATTTTTCAATTTAGTGAACAGTATTAAGATGTTAACCGGAACCCTGCATGTTGGAATTGGTTCTTTTATTGACAAGGTCCTTCTTCCTTACACTGATACGTCTTTTCAAGGGTAAGTAAACTGTATAAAATATTTGAGTTAACCCCTTCCTCACCAATTATTTTGGGAAAAAACGTCTTATTTTCAGACAAATTTTTTTATTTGTTTATAATATAGTAACTAAGAAAGTTTGGTTTACCTTATTTTGTTTTACGGCATGGCATATCAACCTCAATGGGTTATTTAATGCTGACAACATTTTTAGGATAGATTTGTATGAATAGAATATGTATTCTTTGGTTTAGATTAGTTTGGTTTATTTTGTTTTACGGCATATCAATCTCAATGGGTTATTTAATGCTGACAATTTTTATTGCTGGTAATATTTTGTTTTGTCAAAAATCTGTTTCTAGTAATATATTTCCTTCAAAATTGTATTGCTGGTAATAATTTTTTTCAAAAAAATATTGCTGGTAATAGTTAACTATTTGCCCATAGCTGGGAACCTAATAGGTGCTACCACCCCGGGTCAGGGTGGACCTGGGAACACCAGCAATTAAGAGGTGTTTCCACGCTCCTCAAAACCTCCTGATCAGAGGCCTTGCTGCTAGATGTAGTTTAATGCCTTACCCAGGACAAGCACCTTGAAGTACCTGAACAGTGGATGGCATCTCTATCAGATGTATGAGTTGACAATCAGACTCGTTTCAAGCTCAGAAAGGCATAAAAAGAATCTAGATTGACATATAAACATGTCTGTAGCTGGTTTTTGAATGCTATGTTTTGGACATGTTTATTCATCAATGTCTGAAAAATACACTTTATCATATATACACATCTATACTAAGGTTAACCCTTGAAAAAAAGGACGAGATTTCACTTGATTTCATTTTAAATGAACATCTTTCTTGTTTTGCTTTTTGAAGCAGAAAATGAGACATGTTTGATCATGTGACCTATAGTGTAAATACACAATTTCTGTCATCCTTGAAATTTTATCTGTTGTCTTCTCTACAACTAACAAAAATAATACTTTTAACATCATCACTATTCTATAATGATTAATACATTTGCATATGCATTTCATATATTAAGTGTAACCATTATTATAGGACAGAAGGGGGCATCTTGGTGTAATGGTTAGCAAGCTTGTATCTCTAGAACAATTATGACTGAATAGAGTGTTCAATCCTCACTGGGTGCCCCATACTTTTGGCCTCATGCCACATCTAACCTATTTTTGAAAAATCACTATATGAGCAATGAACTGGGGCACCTTGAGGCAGTGTAATGATTAGCAAGTTTGTTTCACTAGAACAATTATGACTGAATAGCGAGTTCAATCCTTACTGGGTGCCCCATACTTTCGGCCTTGTGCCACATCTAAGCTGTGCTTGGAAAATTACTATTATGGGATGGAAGTATTAATTTGCATTAATGAATGATATATAGCAAATGTAAACTATTTTATTGAATTTTGAGAAGTTGTATTCAATATGCAGCTAATGTAACAATTATATGTATTCTGTGTATGTGAGTGTAAAAAGTCACTTGTGAAATTTCTCACTTCATGTGATTACTTTCTTTTTCAGTATCCAAAATCCTTGCCGTTCAGCCAACCCCCCTTTCCAATGTATGAAGACTTATAATTTTAAGCAAATTATGAAGCTGACAAGTAGCATTACTGATTTCACTGTAAGTAAATATGTTTTTTTCTTCATTCTCAGATATATATATATTTGGTCTGTTTGTTTTTTTTATGGCATATCAACCATAATGGGTTATTTAATGCTGACAATTTCCTTTTTTTTTTTTTTTAAAATGTATAGCTGGTAATATTTTTTTTTTAAATGTATAGTTTGTTATGTTTTGTTGCATATTAACCTTAATGGGTTATTTAATGCTGACAAGATTTTTATTTGTGGTAATATTTTCTTTTTTCAAATATTTATTGCTGATACTAATTTTTTAAAAGTATCTCTGGTATTAAAATCTATTTTTACACTTTCATAGTGTTTTGAGTTAGGTTGCGGGGTCAACTATTTGCCCATAGCTGGGACCCTAACAGGTGCTACCACCCCAGGTCATGGTAGATCTGGGAACACCAGCAATTAAGAGGTGGTTCCACACTTCTCAAAACCTCCTTAAAATTTCACTTGAAGATGGAACAGAGCTTAGTACTTTAATTCAATTTAATTCAAATAATTATATTGAAGTTTTCGGCTCTTGATTTGAAACATGGGAACTCTTATGTAGCATGTTGGAATCATATTTTTAAATAAATAAATATATATATATATATATATATATATATAAATAAAAAAATAAGATAAATGTGAGTATATAATCTGAGTGGATCTTAGTAATATAAAAATATTAAAACTGATCCACAAAAGGGAGCTTAATGTATTACATTTCTGCATAGCAATATGAATGAATAATCAAAATTTTGATTTTATATATATATATATATATATATATATATATATATATATATATATATATAATGTGTGTGTGCGGTTGCATGTGTCATCCACAGACAGTTTTGCTGTATCACAGCTCATCAGTGTGGCTAGACATTGATTACCTCAAGCCAAGATCGAAACACAACTGATTTAGCATCAGTTGCAGATTTTTCCCTTGAGCTATCAGCTCTCGGAAGGGAGGAAGGTGAATTTTTATGTATTTATTTTAGAATTAGCACGCCAGTGACTCAGAGTTCTCAATTCATAGAAGAGCTTTTGTATCAGTATGTATTTACTATTTACAAATTTGTGCTTTTCTTTCTAAAGTGCTCAACCAAATTTTGTTTTTTTATATATATATATATATATATATATATATATATATATATATATATATATATATATATATATAGATGTATGAGAGAGGATTAATAAAACATTAATAAAAATACAATCTGTCACTTACCTGATTGATGTTATATTCATCACCTTGAGTCTAGAGTTTCAAAGGTAAACTTTCTCATGATTGTTCAGTCCCACTCTTCAGCAGGTTTCAGCAATTGACTGCCATTTTTTTTCCTTTTCATTATCTTTATACTAAGTTTGACATAATTAATTTATGTGCAAGTCATAAATCATCATGGCCGATGATTTGAGCATACTTGCCTTTTTCAGTTGTTGATCATACAAAGGTGGGTGTTGAAGAAACACAAGTATGCCTGGTCAGAGCTTCTGCAACCAGGATTAGTTTCTCCTACTATAGTAAATGGGTATAGGTGGAAATGAGCTCAAATGTGGCACAAGGCCGAAATTATGGGGCACACATCAAACATAATTATTTGAGCGAGACAAGCTTGCTAACCATTATACCATGTTGAAGTGCCTCATCGAGTTTTTAAACATAGCTTAGATGTGGCTCAAGGCCAAAAGTGTTGAGCACCTAGTGAAGATCACTCACTACTCAGTTGTAATTGATCTAGTGAGACAAGCTTGCTAACCATGACACCATATCAAAGTGCCCATAGGTGCATATACTGTGTGTGATTGTGTATACTTTTATGCACATAATGTGTGTGTATCCACACACACACAATAGTTCTGTTTTATTAACAGCAGCACTATATATATATATATATAGTAATATATATATATATATATATATATATATATATATATATATATATATAATGTGTGTGTATATTTTATATGCACAGTATTTAGAGGAAAGCACTCAATATCAGTGATAGAGCTAACATAATAAGTTGTATGGATATGAGTTCGTGACCCTGGGTTATACACTTTTGCGATCACCAGACAAACTTTGTCTGATGATTGCATGAAACCCAGAGTCACAAACTCATATCCATACAACCTATGTATGTATGTACATATGTATAGGTATATCTGTGAATGAATGGAAGAAAGAACAAAGGTAAGAATGTTGAATAATTTCCTGATGTAGAAAATGTTTTCGATAATCTCATAGGTACATTTTTTTTTTTTTTTAATGCTGGGAAAATATTTGCACTTGAAAACCTGCCTTTTTATTATTTTATTATTTTTTTTTTTTTTTGTCTTCCAGCAAACAATTGATAAACTGAACAATTTAACTTCTGCTAACTTAGATCACCCAGAAGGTGGATTAGATGCAATGATGCAAGCAGTTGTATGTCATGTAAGTCAACTAGTTTACTTTACCCTCTCCCCACTATCAGTTAACACTTTTTAAAAAGTTTATTTTCAGTGAAGTTATCAGCATTTCAAAAGTAATTAAAAAAAAACCTGAAAAAGCTTAGATCATTTTAAGACTTAGTTTATGTTCTTTAATTTTAATCTTTTGGCTTTTACATTTTCATTTACTTTTTGAATTCAATTTTCTTCTAGTTTAAAATTTTTATTTTTTAATTTGTAATTTTTCCTTTTTTTTTTTTTTTTTTTTCATTCCAGTCTTGTTCTTTTTTTTCCAAATCCTTTTTTTTTTTGTGCCTGTTTTTTTTCTTCTTTGCTTAAATAAACATGGATTTATTTATCTATCTATCTATCTATCTATCTATCTATATATATATATATATATATATATATATATATATATATATATATATATATATATACTCATATTAATTTATATATTGTGAGTATTTACATCATCCTTGGGGACAGAGGAAGTCAAGTATTATGTGAGATTTGACTCCAGTCTACTTATGAATTGGTCTTTGAGTAGAGCTTACTGACCATTAATTACTCTCTGCTAGATAAACAAACATGATTACTGAACTCAATGACATCAGTAGCTTGTAAGAATCTGACCTAACTGCAATGTATGTGTGTAAACATATAATCATGTGATGCTTTTAGCTAAGTGCTTGCAAAGCAAAAATCGTTTTAACATTTCATAAGCAATAAAAGGCAAACATTATCTAATGATTTTCTTAAGACCTTAAATCTGTCAGACTGTTTTAAAAATAAATATATATTTTAAAGAATATTTAATAAGACTTTAATTTTCTTATTTTTTTTTTATGCTGACAGTTGAATAAAAACACTTGTGTATTTTTTAAGTATATATATATATATATATATATATATATATATATATATATATAAGAGAGAGAGTGCGTGGATTTGTCTATTTAAAGAATTTCTTGACTTGAACAATAAGGCCAAGGCTCCAAGGGAATAAAATAGATCTTAATCAAAATGAGGTCATGAAATCATAAATGTGAAATGAAATCCTTTCTGGAATAAAGTCAGATCCTCTCAGTTAAAAAAACAAAAACAAAAAAACAAACTTTCAACAACTTAAGAATGAGAAGAAAATGAATAAAATTAAGAGGAGTATTTAGAGATTTTTTTCACTGCTGTTGACAGAATATCAAATTTAGTGCAACTTTTTTATTTATTCATTATTTTTAGAACATAAAGGGGAAAAAAAGGACTTTTTTCTCCTCTTTCTTTCTTGGATTGGAATCTGCACCTTTCATCTGTCGCAGTCTGCCTGCTTCGCTCTCTCTGCATGCCTGCCAGCCTTTTGAAGCATGATGCTGCTTTATCCCCCCCCCCTTGTATTTTTGTATTTTAATACTTAATTTTTTAAATATCTTTATTTGCTAGGACAAAATTGGATGGAGAAGTGGGGCTCGGCGATTGATTATTTATATTTCTGATGCTACCTTTCACTATGCGGGGGATGGAAAGGTTTGTATAAAATTAGGAACATTTGTTAATGATACTTGTCAGGTAATTTAAATGCTTCAACAAATGAAATGAAATCTGTCAATAACACTTGCCTTAATTCTTGATTCTTTCTTCTTTAATTTCTAATGTAAAAAAAATTACTATAATATATTAATTGCAATGAATTTCTATTACACACGTAATAATAGACTTCTGCCAGTTTTAATTTCTGGCCACCAACAATTCTTTTTTTTAAATAAATAGCAGATTTGAATATTCTCTTAAAATATTCTTACTTGAAAAAGAATTAAAAAATATATAATGAAAATAAATATTTGCTTTACATGAATCACTAATGCAAAAATATTTTTCTTTTAATATGATAGTTAGGTGGAGTTGTCATTCCAAATGATGGTCATTGTCATCTGAAGAATAACATGTATACAAAAGCTGAATTACAGGTAATTTTCCTCTCCTTTTTTCCTCTCTCTTTCCTTTTTCCTCTCCTTTTTCAAACACAATTGTACTCAGAATATCAGTATCAGATTATAATTCTGCTTGCTTCTCTCCATTAGTAAGTTAGCACATAAATAATGAACCATCTTGTTTTCATTGTGAGAAAGATAACATAAAGGAGGTGATAACGTTCTCATGTAATTAACATCTGCTTCAGTGAAATGGAAAACTTTAATTTTAAAAATAAATAATAAACTGCATCTATGATTGTTATTATAATATTTTGTTGTTAAGCTCAAATATATAACGATACAATAGGGGAGTTCCCACAGGTATTTTGTAGTTGTGGAACTAGCATGGCACTTATTTAATCATTAAATTAAGATTTCTAATTTGTAAGAAAATTCTAATAGGAAAACTGTTAAATTTTCATGGCTGTTGCTTGTTAAAAATATAATGTAGAAATTAGACTCTAGAACTTTCATCTTTGACATAATCACACTGTGATGCGATCCACAATGAATTATAAATAACGAACACTAAAAATTGTCTATTCTAAAAGTTCAGTCTGAATTAGTTGGACAAGATAATTACCTCATGTGAAAAATTGGTTTAAATTAACATCTCATTTTAGTAAAAAAAAATATTTGATCAAGGGAGATGACTTAGTTTCTCTCAAGGGAGATAACTCATGGTTTTTTTAAGTTGATAAATTCGTTGAAAATACTTTTAACGGATAGATTTGTATTTATACTGATTAAATCTTACATTTTTTAATTATATATAATGTCAGTATTAAATGATTTTTTATTAGTTTATTTTTTAATTAACTTATAATTATTCACTTATTTTTAAATTCTATTTTACAGGACTATCCTTCTGTTGGTCATATTGCACAGATGTTACAAAAAAACAAAGTGACTGTGGTATTTGCAGTGGCAGGGGATACGAAGGTGACACTTTACAAGAAAT